TTACAAGCATGTAGATGTTTGACAACCCGTTAAAATACTGGTACACCAGAATGCAGGGAATTTTTGGAATATTTGGGACCCTGTGTACTAGGCCTGTCGTGATAACAAATTTTGCTGGGCGATTAATTGTCTCAGGAATTGTTGTGACAAACGATAATATTGTTAGAAATTTGACAATAATTAGTAATTGTTGTCAAATTTAAGAAGAATTGTTTAATTTGTTTTGCATGTAGTACCTTTTTTTGACCACTGGACGACAGTATAAGACTGTTTGAACCGAAGGATAGATAGTAAGGGAGCGAGCAGCGTGTCTCTAAGAAAAATAGGAGGGAGGCCCCTTGACGTGACATGGGTTGTCTCTCTTCAGTTCTCAAAATGGCGTTTGCTCAGTGTGGTTTAAGCTTTTTAGCATAGCTATTGTCAAACAAAGCTTTTAATAAAAAAGCAGTAAACAAGTTCTCAGCTACTTTTTGCAGATAAAAACTTTTTACATGAAGGCACTGGTTTCAACTGTGAATTTTGGAGCTTCTACAAGATGGAGATTTTTACCCGAGGTCAGCCTGTTAACTTAGCTTGTAGCTTAGCTTCTTAGCTTAGCTACTTTTAACAATTCCAAAATGCACTTTTGGACAGTTAAAATGACTTTTAAAGAGAACGGGAGGGGTCAGTGAAGAGCGCCGGAGTTGAGCTTTTTGTCATCCAGTCCTGACACTGTCTGAAGATACTGTCATCCAGTGTCTTCAAAGAGAGACACGAAGAAACGATAAAGCCAATAAATGAAAATGAGGTTGATAATTTTAATTTATCATGTGATTTATCGTTTATTGCGACAGGCCTACTGTGTACACAATTTCATTCCACCACATGTACAACATGTGGTGGAATGACAAATGAAGAAACTTTGACTATGAAATTGCATCTACCTAGTACTTTATTCAAAATTTTCTGGGGGAGCACTCCCAGACTCCCCGCCACCCATTTGTGTTCCGGCATTGATCAGTTTACAAATTCATCCCTGTTACTCGGTATGACTACTGCTGTTATAGTTTTCCGTAATAATTTGAAGAAGTAGCAATATATTTATGTTCATTAAGTGAATAAGTAAAGTTTTAAAGCGATTTTAGATACTGTTAATTTTCTCAAAACTGTAATTTTTGGAAACTGAAATTAAAAAAATGTGTTAATTAAGTGTCTTGAATGTAAAATACCCCATATTTAAAAGTATAAAAACTGTATTAACTATTAAAGAACAGGTCTCAAGTATTTATGTTACACAAATATTTTCATTGCATTAAAGAGACAAATTGAAGATTATTTAATAAATATGAGGATTATGAGGGGTTCCCTGAAACTTTTTTTCCCCTGTAAGGGGTCCCTGAACCCCAAAAGTTTGAGAACCTCTGCTGCATAGCATGTAACTAGAAGATGGAGCAATGGGGCAAAAATGGTAAAGTAACATTAAGAAAAAGAATAGAAGGCAAAGTTGGAAACAGATAGAAAACACCTTGCTCTTCAGTCTGTGCTGCTTTCTGTTTGCGCTTCTCTTCCATCCGCTCTCTGTTCTGTTGTCTCTTCAACAGCCTGTCCTCTTTGTCCTTTGCCTGTGAAAGCAGTTTGTTTCATTTACAATGATACACACATTTTGTCCATTTATACTGCTACAGGTGCATGGTTAGTGTGTCTGTCAAGTTTTTTTCAGCTTAATTATCAGGATAAATAAGCAAAAATACACAAATAAATAGTCAACCCACTGCAGATCTGCGGCGCTCCTCCACAGTGATCTCATCATCCGAGTCGCTATAGTAACGGGAGTAGAGGAAGGGTTTGTGAACATAAGCCTTGCGTCGAGGTTTGCGCTCCTTGTCTTCGTCTCCTGTGTCCACACTTGTGTGTTTCTTCCCTGCTTTTTCACCTTGCTCTGAAGGCAAATCAATAAGCATACGGAGAAAAACATTCAACTCCAACATCCAATCTGCATGCCGCAGAAAAATTAATAAATTCAAGCAAATATACGAAGGAAAACGATTTCTTCTGAAGAACATTAAAGCTGTCAAAGTAACTTAAGCAGAAAGAGTAAGTTGCTGCTCTCAGAGACCATCTGGAGGAAGCTCCCCCTCTTCAGAAGAATCAGTCGGCTGATCGTCATCGTCACTTTCCTCCTCAAAAGACGACAAGTCGCTGGTGTGGACGGAGCTCACCGTGATGTCACTTAGGCCTTCCAGGTCAGAGTCCTCCAAGGAATATTCTGCAAATAAAAACACTTTATTTTTTATTTTATGAAGACACTAATCAACTTTGAATTTGTTTTCTATAGTTCAGCGTCTGCTTAATCGAACAACATAAACATTTGAAGATTAGTGATGTTAAAACTGCAAAAACAAAAGACAGCAGCTCACCTTCTTTTATCTTTTCTCTGGCCTTCTCCTTGGCCTGGCTCATAGATTTTATCGTCTCATCATCTGGTTTTTCTTCTAACAATTTGCCACTATCTTTGCTCAAGTTTTTCTCTGTCTTTTCTTCTGTGTGCTCACGAACTCCCGACTCCTCCTCTTCCATCTTAACCTCCTCTGATAGCAGCTCTTTTCCCACTTCTGCCTGTTCCTGCACGCTCTCCATCTTCACATCTGCTGCTTGGACATCTGTAGCCATTTTTACCTCCTCTGCCTCTTCCAGCAGCTTTGCCTCTTGGTTGCTGTTGCCTTCCTCGACAACAATCATGTTGTGCTCGTTCTCCTCCGTCAGCTGCATGGGTTCATCTGTACCTCCTTTATCAGTGTCTGAGCTGGCCCTGACACTGGCCTCCTGGTTGAGAGAAGAAATCGTGTCCAAGATGGACATGGCATCCTTGGCAGTGGATGGAGCTGGAGCTGAAGATGAGGCTGTAAATAAATCAGAACTGTTTATGACAGTTAAACCAAAAAAACAAACCATTTCTTTAACTTGAATATCTGCTTCGAAAGTCATAGGCTTAACATAAAAAAACATAAACGAGGAGCAAAGGCAGACACAAGTAGTAAAAACTATGATGTATTGTGTACTTTGCTCAGTAACGCTGCCGTCTGGTTGAAGTTCTGCAGGCGTCGGAGGGACCGGCGGTTCCTCGGAGCAGCTGCCCGGTGACAGAAACTCACGAACCACCCGCTCCACCTGCGGGCGGAAGGTATGGTTGACTTTGGGATCCACAACCTGGGCGACGATCCTGTCCACTCCCTGCTCCAGCATGCCAGACCTACGAGACACACGTGACTGTAAACGCAGGAAGCTTACAAATAGTTCATGAAAGAACAAAGAACGTTATGAGTTTCTTCCTTACTGCAGGACGAGCTGTCTGATGTTGTTCCTCAGCTGGTTTTTGTTCAGATGAGGGCTCCATGTGTGGTTGGAGAGGTGATTGGAGACAAAATTGTCCACCCTTTGCTTCAGGTTCAGGTAAGCTGGCTGCAAAGCATTTTTAATAGTTATAAACTTGCACTCCCATAATACGGTGCGTTCACAAAATGTCAAATAGCATCATATAAACTCATTAGGGGTGCACCCATTGCAGTTTTCTGGCCAATCACCGATTTCTAAAAAGTCTGACCTGCCAATTCTGATTTTGTTTTATAAGTGACACTGTCAGGTGTTATAAGGTCACAATGCACCTTCAATTTTACAATATTATTTTGTTGAAAAACATACCCTTGAGCAAAATCCTAGGAACAATACGAACTTGTTTTAACTGGCCATGAGGCAGTGCTCTGAAATATGAATGAAGTTCAGACAATTGTTGTTAAACACACACACACAAAAAAAAAAAAAATAATAATAAATCGGTAAAATCGGTTTCTCTTGCAAGTATCCGCCGATTTTCGATTTCCCCAAATTAAGAAAATCGGGGCCGATTTATCGGTGCACCCCTAAAATGAGCTGTACAGAAACAAAATGGCAAACTTAGGAAAATACACTTAAACTCAACGCCTGACCATGAAGATTAAATCGACTTTACACGCCAACCTTCGCAACAAAGCAGTCATTTTCGTGTAAAATACACTTGAAGGCTACCTTTGTATCAACGTCTGCCAGACAGTCCCTCCTGAACTGGTCGAAGAGCCCCTGTGTTTTTAAATGACTGACGATCATGGAGACCAGTTGTGGGTCTCCGGGAGGAAGACCATCCATGTTTCAGTGTAGCTGGATGAGACACTTTGTTGTTAAAAGAAAAATAAAACACACGAAACATCAGAAAGTGTCCTGAATTAACGCAGAAACGTCCTGTTGTGGGTTGTGACAGACTCGAGGATCTAAAAAAAAAAAAAGCGGTTAGAGTGAACCGGAAGAACTTCGATAGGGTGGTTTTCCACCACAATAAAAGCATTATTATATGACAGTATTATTATTATTATTGTTATTAAACAGTCAACAGCAAAAAAGGTACATAACATATACATTATGTGTTCACACTACGTAATTACAAAGTCACAAAGAGCAAACAAAACAAATAAATAAAAATCGCAAAACTTAACGGGGTATATTGTACAACATAAAAATCCATAATGCTTTTACCATAGAACGCTTTTACTTTTAAGATGTAAAAAAAAACGATAAAACTACGGAACCTCGTAAGGGCTATGTTGGGGAAATATTTTGTTGCTCCTTTTTGCATTTCCTCTCAACACCTTATTTGCGTTCTCTCACAATAATAGTAATAATAAGCCGCTTTTATTTAATGTAATTTGAATTGGGGGGGTTTTGCGCTTTTGCGCATACTTATGTTTTGCACCAAACAAATTTATCACATTTAATGCTTAAGGAGGGCTTGTTGCACATCCACAGTTCTCGACGCTTCTATTTGATGGACTTTGACGTCAGTTGTTTCGGATTAAACGCTTTACACTCCGTTTAATTTTCACTAAATACAAAAATTTTGACAAATCAAACTAAAACAAGATACGTCCATGATTTAAAAAGCATAGATTTATAATTATCAATTAACTTCTTAAAGTCATCTCAGGAAACAAAAATCTTGTGGCAGCGGTGGGATTCGAACCCACGCCTCCGAAGAGACTGGAGCCTTAATCCAGCGCCTTAGACCGCTCGGCCACGCTACCATGTGTTTCATTGGCATCGAAATAATTTATTAGTATACTACTGAGACGACATGTTAAACATGATTCGGGTAGTTTTATTTTTATCACGACTGATGAAAGCTTCCGTTTGTTTCAACTGTTGCGTTCCGTTGTGGAAAAAAAGAAGCCGTTCGTTTGCTTCTGCATTCATCCCTTTGCTTGCCACACCTGTCTAACCATTTTTCTACTCAACACGTGACCAAGAATACTGACAGCTAGTGGGTTAAACCTGGTGTTGACAGTTATCGGAGTCAGACTTTCTTTATTGTCATTCGCGCCTCATGTGGTACATGTGGCGGAGCGAATTTATGTACACATGGTCCCAGTTACATCCAACAATAAAATGTAAAAGAAAACAATGATAACATCTAAGATATGAACTAAGAAAAACATGAACTAAAATATACACTAAGCACAAAATGCACTAAGCATTAAAAAAATTACTTCGAACATCAGCACAAACATGAACATGAGTCTGTGTAAACAGATGTGCACGCATGAACACATCAACATTGAAACAGATCAGCAGCAACATGAAACAGATCAGCAGCAACATGATGTGATTTTTTTCACAGTGATTGTTCTGGTTAGAGATTCATGAGTCTAACAGCCTCAGGGTAGAAGCTGATCCTCAGTCTAGTGGTTCTACACTTAATGCTCCTTAACCTCCTTCCTGCGGGGCGTGGGGCAAAAAGTGTGTGTGCTGGGTGAGTGGGGTCCTTCATGATGCAGGTGGCCCTCTTCCTGCATCAGGAGGTGTAGATGTCTGTGATGGTGGGGAGACTGACTCCAACAGTCTTCTGTGCAGCCTTCACCACTCTCTGCAAAGCTTTTCTTTCTGCAGCTGTGCAGCCTCCATGCCACACATTGATGCTCGAGCACAGGATGCTCTCCACTGCACACCTGTAGAAGGAGGTGAGGACTGAGCTTCCCAGACCAGCTCGCCTCAGCCGTCTGAGGAAGTAGAGTCTCTGATGAGCTTTCTTGATCAGGCTGGTGGTGTTGTTGCTCCAGCTGAGGTTGTCATTCATGTGTACACCCAAGTACTTGTAGCTGGAGACCACTTCCACCGCAGATCCTCTTATGTTCAGGGGGGTGTAGGTGTTTTTGTTCCTTCTGAAGTCCACAATCATCTCCTTTGTCTTCTTCATGTTGATGTGAAGGTTATTCTCTTTGCACCAGCTCTCCAGGTGTTCCACCTCTTGCCTGTAGCTGGACTCATCATTGTTTGTGATGCATCCCACCACCGCTGTATCATCTGCAAACTTTACAATGTGACAGCCTGGATGGGTAGCTGCACAATCATACGTGAGCAGAGTAAACAGGAGGGGGCTCAACACACATCCCTGAGGAGAGCCAGTGCTGAGGGTTATGGTGGAGGAGGAGAAGTTGTGGATCCTCACTGACTGTGGTCTGTTTGTTAAGAAGTCTAGTAGCCAGTTGCAAATGGCGGGGCTTAGTCCTAATGTGAATAGTTTGTCCATCAGGGTTTGGGGGATCATGGTGTTGAAGGCGGATGTGAAGTTCACAAAGAGCATACACACTTAAGAGTTTTCCTGCTCCAGGTGGTTGAAAGCAGTGTGGACCACGGCATCCTCTGTTGATCGGTTCTCACGGTATGCATACTGATGAGGGTCCTTGTAGATGGTTGTTTTGATGCGAGTCATGACCAGTTTTTCGAAGCATTTAGTGACTATCGGGGTGAGGGCCACTGGCCGATAGTCATTCAGACCAGTCACTGTGGAGCTCTTTGGAACTGGGATGATGGTGGCAATCTTCAGACAGGTGGGAACTTTCTCCAGGGTGAGGTGTTAAAGATGTCTGCCAGCACCTCGCAGAGCTGATCGGCACATACTTTGAACACTTTTCCGGGGATGTTGTCTGGGCCAGTTGCCTTGTGCGGATTGATCCTCCTGAAAGTACTTTTTCTGAGGTCACGCTGAAATGCTCTTCATCCTCTATAGATATCGTTGCATGAACGTTAAATTTTAACATTTTATTACATTCACTGACATTTAACACTGTGGGGTTTGATTTACTATTTCATTGTTTCTTTTATTTTTGATGCCTTAAATCACATCTTGATATTTTATTTACTGCCTTGATCTTACTGTTTAGCACTTTTGTAACAGCTGCTGTTTTAAATGCACTTTATAAATAAAATTCACTTGATGTTTAGCTTTCAGTTAAAATCAAGACTTCAGTTTATTCTCAAAAATAAAACACTCAACATGATGAGAATATTTTATTAAAAAGTTATACATTATTATTGAGGGAAGTAGCTAATACACATTTTCCAGCTCAAATTACACACTGTTCACCTGAAGAACATACAGTACTTGCTAGAGTAGTACTTTTGGTGGAAAAACATGTCTTAAAAAGATCTATGAATATGACAACAAAACATAACATCTAGGGGAAAAATAAAAAAAATCAAAGATTGCACACACACTTAAACGACTGATCAAATAAAATAGTCTGCATTTTTTTTTGTTTTGGTGTCATAAATTGTGACGTACAACAAACTATCTTCACATACCTAAAAAGAAAAAACTGCTTCTGTAAAAACTGGATCCGTGGTCCACTGGTCCATCCAATGAATACTCAACAGAACGTGCCCAGAATAATGGGTGCTCAAGCTTTTGGCAGTGATATTGCTTCAATAATTTTTCATGAACGCTTGATTGCCAATGCAGCTTAGGACTTCTCAGAGGGACAGGCTGGAGGAAGAACTCTGTTAGAGTTGGTCCGCACCCATGGATGCTCCATGACACTTCGAAGAGGGAGACGGTCATTGGGGTTGTGGCGAAGCAGCTTGGAGATCAGATCCCGTGCACCGTCAGAGACGACTGATGGGAATTTTAGATCCACCTGAGAATAGCAACACATGATTTACTATCAGTATAGGGACTTCAAAAGTTAAAGAAAATACCAGATTTTGAAGAAACTGTTCATCCAAACATGATGCAGAAGACGCGTACTAGCCTTTTCATAAAGTATGCGTGGTTCTGAAATCTTGTTTCATTATGTATCCACCAAGTGGACAAAAACTGCATGTTTGTGCTCCCAGCTTGACATTAATAACACAATTTGAATGGGTGGGAGAAAAAAAAGTGATTACTTTGGAGGAGCACATAAGCCCAATTAAGTTATCTATAATGAATGAAAGTATGAGACAAGCTCCTCTCAGACACAAGTACTTGGGTAGCATTTCTGATTTTTGCCTTTTTATATACCGTACTTGCCACCGTATAGGTTGCATCAGTCCAAATGTGTCTAATAAAGTGGAAAAAAAAGTAAATACGCCACTTCGCTGTATAGGTCGCATCTATTATGCGTCACCGCTGTCGCGTCGCGTTTGTTACACGTCACCGCTGACAACCCGGAAATGTGGGCCAGTGTTGTGCCAAAAATCGATTGGCTGCCAAACGGTGGGCGCGGCAGCGTGCACGGGAGGACTTTAACAAGATTAACCCTTAAATACAATAATTTGTTTGCTCGAAATTATAGCAAAGGTGTGTCTCACTTTAACTTTTCCTTAATAAATGTACTTTAATGGTCAAATCAGCTGCATTTTGCCTGGGCAGCACAGCGAAATGCAGCTGATTTGACATTTGCTCCAGGAGTTCTGGAGTGAGACTAAGGTGGCTTGGTATGGCATGTCAAGTGTCCTATTAATAACCACTTTTACCTATTAATGAGACACTTGGCTTGCCACATTAGTTGAGGGCCCTCTAGTGGTAGAAAATGGTAGAGTTCAATATTTTCCATGTCAATGAATGAAATTGTTGGATCTCAGCTAAAACTGTTATAAATATGGGGCGGGGGGACCAAATACGTCACTTCGCTGTATAAGTCACAAGCATGCTAATATACTCAAAAGAACTGTGACTTATACAGTGAAAATTATGGTAATTATGAGATTTAGCTGACAAAAGGCACAAACAAACCTTGCTAAT